AATATATATATATATTACTTGCTCTGTCAGTTGTATCCTGTACCCCTATTCCTGGATAACAATATAATTATTTTTTCCCTATTTAGTCCACAGACTATCCTATCCATGTACCATGCTAATGAATCACCTATAACAATAACTTCCTTATGTTATTCATACCTATCTGTCCTTTTTGTTATCCTTCCATTCCCTATTTCCTCATCTACATAAGATAAAGGCTGAAATCTGTTTTTTATTAGAACCTGCTTATTATAATCAAATCCATTTCTATAAGACATATTAGTACCATTTTTGACTTTCTGAAAGTCATCACATACAAAAGCTTAAATTCCTCTTTAATTCCTGTTGCCATTTCCCACACTCTTTTTATTACCTGCCTCTATCATATTTTGTTCCTAATATCTCCGAGATCTGAAAAACAGGCAACAGCTTATTCTAAAACACTATATTAATACTATGTTTTTCTTTGAATCTAACAGTATCAAAAGCTAATTATTAACAACTGCTGCAACCTAAACTAGATAAGAATTATATAATGGTACCATTGATACTTAACGTAATGCTTATTTCCTCAAATGTTTGTGTTTCGGGATCTTTAGTTTTCTAAACAATACAGAGCTACATCAGTGTCATAATAACATAACAATGAGGAACTGGCACTTCATCATGTGAACACTGCAACACCTGATTTTTGTAATCTAAAATGTTAATGATACACATCTCAAAAATTATGGTTCGCACTTAGTAAAAATTAATGCAGCTACAAGTAAATTGGCAAAAAAGGTGGAATCTTTAGCCAGTTTGCATACTTAGGAAGCATGGATGATAAGCAAGAAGGAATAGATACCGATGTAAATACTCAGATCAAAAAAGCTAGATATACATTTAAATAACTAAAACTACTGTGGAGATCTAACTGAAGACCAAGCTGAGACTCTTCAATACCAATGTAAAAATTTGTATAGCTCTATGGATCAGACTGCTTGAAAACAACAAAGAAATTGTCAAGAAGTTACACATATTCATCCACATATGTCTTATGATAACTCCTAAAGCATGGTTGCTCAAAGATTTTAAATAAAGAAGTGAGAAGAAAGACAGGATAGAAGGCATCATGGTAGAGGTCACTAGAGGGAAATGGATGTAGATAGGCCATGTGCTAAGGAAAGAACAGGAGGGCAACAAAAGATGCCTTTGTTCTGGAATCCTCAGCTGAAATGGAGAAGGGAAAGACCCAAAACAATGTAGAGCAGATCAATCAAAGCTGACCTGAAATCTAAGGCCCAGCTAACAGCCCAAAATAAAAGTGCAATGGCAAGATGTTGTGGAGGTCTTATGCATCACCTAGCACAAAGAGGATTAATTAAGTAAAATTGTAAAATGTACAACATTAACCACTATAAACTGTTTACAAATCTTAAAAAAAGCTGAAAACACAATAAATGTAATGAAACCCAGACTAGTTTTCCCTACAAGTTATGAGATTGCATGGGAAGCTACTGCATACTTATAGTAAATCCATTGTTCATGTTACAAATTAAAAATTGTGTATATTCAAATCCATATAAACATTATGTTTATGAAACTGTAAAATAAAAACAGTGCTACAGACTATGAACTACTGTATGCATTCAGATTGGCAAATAATAACAGGAAAATCTTAAAGTTATAGTGCTCATGTTGCCTCATAGCCTTTTATAAACCTCGCCTTGGCATTATATATAATTACTTAAGATATAGTTGGACAGTAAGCAACAAAAAGTACATTAATCAAAAATTAACCAAACTTTTGTAGATTTAAAATCAAATATCATTAAGATTTTTGTTTTTCTGTCCCTTAAGGTTTCATTTGCATTATTCATTTATTGTATCAACAAAAATCAGAATTTTTTTTCAGTATTATGTGTATTAAACACATAAGGAACAAGTTCTTTAAAATATCTCATAATAAAATTGGCCAAATGCTTTCCCTCTTATCATCTCTCATTAAACTTTTGTATAATGACTGATAAATAATCAACACAAAAATTTCCTTCACACTTCCATGAAAAGTTTGTTTTTTGGTACTTGGAGTTGGAAGGGGAAACTAATTACATCTTGGTGTTCTCAGTTTTAGTAACTTCAAAAAGAAAAAAAAAATGGTTTTGTAAAAACATCAGAAGTATTGATGTTATTTTTGCTAACGTAATACCCTAATTACTTTTGCACAACCTAAGAGAGAGAGTATTGGAAAGTTCTGCTCTTGCAGTGCGCAAATTCTGTATGTGAATAATTCGAAATACTCTACGCAACGTTAAGCGTCTTAAACTGTTCCTTAGAGTTAGACCAACAGAAATTAAAAGTGAGAACTGGAGACTGTTTTTTCACCCACGTAAATAAAGAAAATAAAATCTAAACGTAAAGTAAAAAGATAACATAGAGAAGATGATACATTTCAACTAAGTAGTAAATTCAAGCTTAGGCACTACTGTTCGCATTAGTATTACTAAGACTAGTCTATTCTGTAATTAATAATTATTTTAAATTTTAGGGTTGAGCTGTCGACTCTCGTCAGCATTCAATTTCAAACCTACATATATTTATACTTGTAATATTACTAGTAACAGTAACTGATATGCTAATACTATTACTAGCGAGGGATAAACAATTGTTAATACTAATAGAATAAAACATTATTATAATTACACTAACATAATTATAATACTTCACCAACTACTTACAAACGGCCGTACTCGTTACATACTCGTTCATTTCGCCCTTATTACCTCCAAGTTTTGGCGTTTTATATCATTGCGTGATTTACGTCTAACATGCGGGGAAAAAAAAAGAATAAATATTTTTGCCCGAACATTTGTCGAAGACTTCACACTGTGAAAAAAATATTTCGCTGTTACTGTTAATACCATCAATAAAAAAATTAGCGACTGCAAACACCAGTGTCACTAAAAATCTTTACATTAAACAAAAGAATAAAAATCTATAATATGTATGGACAAATATCATGACGTATAGAATATTTATAGCTCCGTCAGTGTCATTAACACTGCTTTAAATGCTTGTATCGAATAAGATAATTAACATTACACAAACCTTCTGCAGATATAATTATTTACTTTCTTATAGTAGCATTATTTTGGACACCCTGGATTTCAGAGGTTGATGAAATTTCTTTAAATACTAGTATTTTTAATTTTGCAGTGCAACATAACCACCTGTTACGTCTCCGTTTGTTAATTAACTTTCCGTAACTTCGTTCCGACGAAACTTTAGCGACACAAGTTCTTTACTTAATAAAACTGGTTTATTCTTTCCGAATACAACTTTACGATACACTTATTTTCAACAATCGCGTTAAAACAAACGCTAT